GGGTTTCTCCATATTGGTCAGGCTGGTCTTGAACTCCTGAACTCAGGTGATCTGCCCACCTCGGCCTCCCAAAGTGCTGGGATTACAGGCATTAGCCACCATGCCCAGACAACTCTTCTTGTTTAACCAGAAAGAACAGTGGCTCTGAGATCAAGCTGCTTGGCTGTTCATGTGGCTGGCCCTTCTCTGCTTTGGGTCTCAGCTGTAAGGCCTCTTCATAAAGGGCTCGCTGGCCTCCCTAAGTGTTCCTCTGTCATGGCTCTATTTTCCCTTCCCTCATGTTTAGCCTAGTCTACAATTTTACTTATTTGCTTGCTTGTCACTGCCTTTGCTTACACCATAGTGTGGAAGCTCCATGAAGCCAGGGAGGGACCTTGTGTCTTTCCTTATTTGAAGCCCTGGCTCCTGGGCTAAGTGCCAATTATGTAATAAATTTTCAGATTTGGTGAGTTAATAAGTACATTTCAGGGTTGCTTCATCTAAATTTGAAATTAACATGGACTTTTCCCCCTTGAATGTGTTCTCTATCGTTTTCCTTTTAACATTATCTAGTATTGCTATTATCACCCTCCCTGGGATTAAACTAAAACATATGTCATATTTTATCATATGAAGCCCTCTGTAGTAGGAAGGTAGCATTTATATAATGAGTTGGCATTCAGCCATTAAACATATTAGATGAATATTTCACATTTAAAATTTTAAATTTAATAGATTAATTTGTCTGTTTTATTTTCTGTTGCTATAAGAGAACACCTGAAAATAGGATGTTTATTTAATATTTGCCATGAAACAAACCTCAATGTCAGTTTATTTGATTAATCAAAAAATAAAATAAGCTGCATAGGAACAATTTTTTTTTGGCAACAAAGTTTTATTGCAAAATAAGAAATTGATATAAAAATGGGATATAAAAAGGGAGGAGGAGGGGAAGGGGTGGGGTGAAAATGCAGATGTGCTTGCAGAATGTAAAAGAAATTGACCCTTCCAGCTGGATGCGGTGGCTCATGCTTGTAATCCCAGCATTCTGGGAGGCCGAGGCAGGTGGATTGCTTGAGCCCAGGAGTTTGAGACCAGCCTAGCCAACATTGCGAGACTCCATCTCTACAAAACATGTAAAAATTAGCCGGCCGTGGTGCCATAAGCCTGTGGTCCCAGCTACTCAAAAGGGTGAAGCAGAAGGATTGCTTGAGCCGGGGAGGTGAAGGCTGTGGTGAGCCAAGATCACACCACTGCACTCCAGTCTGGGCAACAGAACAAGACCCTGTCTCAAAGAAAAAAGAAAACAAATTGACCCTGAGCATTAAACAAGTCTTGGTGGATCCAGATCATCATATACAAGAAATGAAATCTCCAGAGTATGGGATGGGCTGAGATTTCCTTTTAGGTACTAAGGTTCACCAAGAGGTTGTCAGAGAGGATTTTGTCAGACAAGCAGAGGCTTGGCAATGCCCTCTACCTAACCAGCTGCCCAACTATAGAAACTACTAACCCACTGACCAACAGGGACAGGGAACAAGAACCCTCAAGGGGGTCAAGTTCAAGACCCCATGTAATAAAAGGTGGTTTCAAGGCCAGACATACATTATTTCATTCACCCTCACAACACACCGTGAGGAGGTACAAATGCCAGCATTTCACAGATATAGAACTTGAAGTTAGAGGAAATTAAAGAGTGTGGGACAGCTTCCCTGGTTAGTATGGTGAAGAAGTGGGCCCCCACCTACTATGTGGTTGATTGTAAACTAACCCTTACCTACAAGAAAAATTCTTACATCTCCCAAATATCCCTCACAGTAAAAACCTTAAAATCAAAGCTGGTATGCCGTAATCCCCATCCTCCTCCCCACAACAAAACACAAGTGCAGGCCAATATCCTCAGTCAAGCTCCAGGACAAAGCAAACGGAAGTCCTGGGTGTTTCTGATGCACACCTATGGCAAGCAAGGGTTCAAGGATCCAAAACCCAAAATGGCAGAGGAGGGAGAGATGCGGTGGGAGGCTGTCAGTGGGAAACAAGAAGTGGAGAATGTCAGTCTGAGTCAGGTTCCTCTCTCTTGACCATTAGTTTTTTACGGCGGGAGGTAGACTGCCCCTTCTTGGACTTCAGGTGGCTGGAGTAGGCCCTGCTCCCCACTGGCTCCTTCCCATCCCGGGCATCCTTGAGTTCCAAGGCCTCATTCAGCTCTGGGAACATCTTAAAGCACTCATACCCATGGATCTGAAGGGTGAAATATTCTCCATCCAGTGGGTTCTTCTTTGGCTGGAGAGAGGAGCTGGTGCTGTTGGGCAGTGCTCGCATAGTGCTCCCAGGTGGCACATCAGGGCAAGGCTCCCCTTTCTTGAGGACATTCTCTTCCTTTGTGCACCAGTCTCTCCCAGGACAGGCACAAACGCTCACCTCAAAGCTGCTCCATTCCAGCAGATCACCACTGGAATATTCCAGGTGATGATGAGGATAGGCCTCTGGTTCATGCTGCCCATGCAGGAACTGTTACACATGTGGTGGCACAATCAGAGCCAACCTCAGGCGGCTCATAGGGTGCTGCCACGCTATGTCAAAAAGTGTTTCTGTCATCCAGATACTCCATATGTAAATTTCCTTCTACTGATAAGATGCTGAGGAGGGGCCAGACCATCACTATCTGAGCAGCGCTCATGGTGGGGGCAGTGCCTCATGACCTCCGTCATGAGCTGTGACTGATTGTAGATGGCCATAGCACTGACGCGGGTGCCAGGTGCGGGGTATGGAATCAACCCACAGCTGCATGGGGCAGGTCTTGGCCAGTTGGCAAAACATCTTGTCGAGGGCAGGGGTACGTGCAAGTCACAGACTTGGCTGTCCCAGGATGCAAGAAGCCCAAGAAACCATAGTCACCATGGTAGGTTTTCTGCAAAGGGACAGAGGATGACAGGGGCCAGAAGGGGGGCGTGGGGGCCACTGGTGTAGGAGCTGTCAGTGCCTGGGCCACGACGGGAGGAGCCTCTGACACTGTAGGAGCTTCATCTGGAACCAGGTCTTGACCGAACCATTGTGCAATATCATCCGGGGACAGCATCAAATCATCCACGGGTTGGGAAAGCGAGGAGGACAGAACGTTGTTTTCAGGAAGTAGTTTCCATAGGTCTGAAAATGTTTCCTGACTGAGAAGGGGTCGATGCTGAGATTGGACTGTGGCTCCTCCATGGCAGTGACCCCGAAGGCAGTCTGGCTGCCAATCCTCAGGGAAGCGTGTCATTGTCATGGAAAGCATGCTCCGAGCCCAGATGCCAAGTGTTCCCGGAGCCCAGCAGCTACTTTCTCCCTGAATGGTGGCTCTACACTTTTTGAATAGGAACAATTTTAAGTCCAAAGAGATACCAACTTTGTTTTAAGGCTGTGGTAGTTGATACAGCATCTAGCTGCTATCCTCTGCAGTCTTCTCTGTGAACCACAGTGATACCTTTAGAAACCTGTTAGCTAACCCAGGAGTTTTTTGTTTTACTTTTTCATTGGTTCTTTACCTGCTCATTGTCTGTCATGTTTGTGGCCTGCAATAGTAGCATTTAAGATTTAAAAATGAAAGCCAAAAGCAAAAGAAAATTCATATAGCAAGTATTTACTCAGGCTGCTCATAGGGTTAAAGAAGACAAGATAGTTTACCTGAAGATAATGTCACCAATTGAGAGTAAAAAAAAAAAAAAAAAAAAAAAAAAAAAAAAAAAAAAAAAAAAAAAAAAAAAAAAAAAAAAAAAAAACCCATACACACAACCAAACAAAAGCCTACTTTTTCCTAAAAGTTTAGGGGAAAACTTTTATTTCCCCACCCATCCACTGAATTGATGGAATTCACACTATTATGGCCATGACCATTTAAAAGAACCCAGGTGGGCCTGCAGCATAGTTTCTATGGCCATGAGTGTTATTTTGGTAGTGCATAGTCTTTATATCATGTTTGCCTTGGACAAATAAAAATCAAGAGGCTTAACTTAGTCATTCTAACAAAAGGCAACACCCCATGTTAATTCCTTCAATTTTGTGTTTTCTTAAAAAAAAAAATCAATGGTGTCATATGTTCTACAGCTAAAAATTAAAACATTTGCTGATGAGCCATGAAAGCTAATAGACAGTATTAAAAGATTCATTAAAAAAATGCTAACAACACTTCTACCCATCCAAGTATACCAACCATGCTACTTAAAAACAAAAACGCTTACCCATCTACTCTCACCTGCATTGAATTAAAGAGAAAAGGAAAAAAAGAAAGAAATCTTACCACCCTGAAAGCAAGAAAATCCCCAAAATGACAAAAATCTTCCTTTGAAGAAAGCTACTCAGACTTCTGGAAACATAAAGAACTATTATAGAGCTTGTTATTTTGAGAAAGTAACCACTTTGTTACACACATCAACAGTCAGTCAGTGTGCTCTGAGACACAGAGACTGAGTAATTTATAATGAACAGAAATTTAGCTCACTGTTCTGAAGGCTGGGAAGTCCAAGAGCATGTGGCCAGAATCAGGGAAAAGGAAAGGCCTTTGTGCTGCATCATCCCATAATGAAAGACAGAAGAGAATACATGGGGGAGAGAGTGCATGAGAGGCTGGGCTTGCTTTTATAGTAAGTTGCTCTCGAGATAACTGACCCACTCCTGTGATAACTACATTGATCCATTCACGACTTATTAGGCCTTACCTCCTAACACTGTTGCATTGGGGATTAAGCTTCCAACATGTGAATTTTGTCATACACATTCAAACCATTGCATAATCTGATGCATGGTCTAATTCTGTACAGTAAAAGTGTTTGTGTATGACTGTGGTATATAAGAATATGCACTAAAGTAATGTTCTGGGTTAAATTGTGCCCTCCCCACCCAATTCATCTGTTCAAGTCCTAACCCCTAGTATCTTAGAATGTGACTGTGTTTGGAGAAAGGGTTTTAAAAGAGGCAATTAAGTTAAAATGAGGTCATCAGGATGGGCCCTAATTCAATATAAGAATTGTATGTCCTTATAAGAAGAGAAAATTTGGACACAGACACACACAGAGAAATGGCCTTGTGAAGAGCAAGGGAGAAGACAATCATTTACAAGCCAAAGAGGGAAGCATCAGAAGAAACCAACCCTGCTTACACCCTGATCTTGGACTTCTAGCCTCCAGGATGGAGAGAATTAATTTCTTATTTGAGCCACTCAGTATGTGTTACTGTGTTATGGAACCTCTAGCAAACTAATAGAAGTATGTGATGATAGAATTAGGTAAGTTTACTCTTTGATTCTCTGCATTTCCTGACTTCTATAAAACTAACTACAAATTTTGTCACTAAATTTATTTAATGCTGTAACTACCCTAAACTGAGAGATGGTCAGGATGAGTATAGTGAGAAAGCAAGAAATAAAGGAAGAACAAGCTGGCTAATTAGTTTCCCTGTTTCTCATTGAAGAATATGGAAGTAAAAATCAGATTCAGAGTTTAAGTTGATTGAGCCTTAAAGTTTTGAACAAAGAAAAATGTTCTGAACAGTTAGTCCTCTGAACAGGCTATTCAACCAAGGCCTCTCTCTATTACCTGGAAGTGGATCCTCCATGTGCTCCATGAGACAGTGCTCCAATAACGATTCTGGGGGCATCCAAACTCTTGATTTGAGACTCAGAACAAACAGAACATACACATTCCTTAGTATAACTTAGAAACAAATTCCAGATGAGGGCTGCCCCAGTTCAAAAAGAATGATGGACATTAGCTCTGGAAGTTACCCAGCCACTAGAGAGTTGGTGGAGCTGACATATTCAACCTCTCACCTCATTAGCAGAGTCAGTTTGCTCAAACATCTTCTCCTTTCACTCCCTTGAATAAATGTAATGGTCCAAGAGTAGTCAGAGATGATTAGATAAAATCTGTTGGACCTAGGGACCTTCGTCAACTGGTCCAATCCTCTCATTTTACAAGGGTGACAACTGGGACTCTGAAATGCTAAGGGTAATGTATATGTACATGTGTGCCTGCAGAATATTTATAGCAGTCTACCTCAGTCTGAAGTTAGAGATAAAGAATCCTCAGAGACATACCAAGCCTAAAATTTCTCATGCTATGAACAACTTTGGATTCTCTTGATAGGCCTTGTTTAATATCTCAGAGGAAAATAAATTTAAGGGATGTTCCAAAATTAATTGCTTATCTTATAAAGTTGGGCTAAAAGTTAAAATCCTATCAGTAGAACATATGGAAGATATAAATTGATTAATAGTTGGAGAAAACTGTACTATAAATGAATAGTAACTCAATCTCACCAGCAAATGGTCAATACTTACTCTTGATAAATTATTTTCTCTCTTCAACATGCATAAATGGAGGTACTTGTTTTACACTCCTTTGGAAGTGATAAAGTAGTGACCTAATTTGTTTGATACTTAAAGGGTTAAATAAACTACAGTGTATTTCCATCATATGTACTCTCTCAGACCTTACCCGTATGCCTATACACTAAGAACATTTTAGGATATAACATTGGGTAGGATGGTCCTTGCCCTTAAGGAGAGCTCAGTCTTCTAGATAAATTGGACACATGAGACACTGTTAATCAAGGGGTCTCAAGGCTGTGATTAGAAAAGTTTATTCTTTTATTCCAAACTGCCTATTCTGATTCACTGTTCACGTTCACATTCAAGGAGCAAAAATGTTCTTCCTGACCTTTGGAGGAAATCTAGGACATGCCTCATGACCTTTCTGGTAAATTTCAAATAATGTCTTCTGGTCACTTATAGAGACAACAAGGCTTGTTTCAGATTTCATTTAAAGATCAAGATTTCCCTTCTGACTAGCTTAAGCTGTCTCCAGAGACACAGGCAGCTTCTCCATTCCCCTGCCCTGAAGCTCTGCTCTTCTCCCACTCGCTGCATCTGGTTCCTCTAAGGCTGCAGCCCCAGATGAAGGTGAGGGCTGGAGTGCTAAGAGGCAGGAAAGGGCTTGGCTGGCTTTCAGGTAATCTCACATTGGCTTCCTTGGGCCAGGGCAAGTGTTTGGCTGACAGTCTGTCACATGGGTTATTTGGAGGCTCCCAGTAGGAATGCAAAGCAACCTGCTCTGACATGAGTGATGTGTTTTCTTTCGAGTGGCTGCTTATATCCCCTACCTCCAACCCCGGAAATCAAATGGTCCACCTCTCAGGTGGAATAATTACCCCTCCACAGAGTTCTTTGGGTGGAATTTGAAATGGCCATAAACTGGTATGATCCGTCTCTCTCTGTCACTCTCTCTTTCAGACCTAGGAGAACACTGAACTGTCAAGGCAGTGCAGCTGGCTCTCGGTGCAGCTGGTTGAGTTCTCTTTTCTCTGTTTTTGGCTAATTGTCACAGCTTCTGGCCTTTAAATCCTTCCGGAGTGCTTTGTTGCTCTGTCCCCTGAACCACAGGAGGCATAGATCAAACTCTTAGCTCATCAAAGCTCTGATTGCTCGGCTTGAGGAACAGTAAAGAATTCTCTACCTCTCTTCGACGTGGTAGGAAAGGCCCACAGCATACTAATAACACTCTCCAGAGAAATTTTTTCCCTGGGTTCCAATTTATTGACTGAATACTTAACTGTCACCAAAACAGTCTGGATATGGCCAGAACCAAAACTGTTTCTTCTCTACAAGTTTTGTATAGGCATATAGCACCTCACTTTGGATTGCTGGATTGGTTGCTTTCTGGTCCTTAGTAAAAACTAAGGTTGAGTCCCATCTTGTAAGACAAGCAAATATGTCATTAATGTGACAAGTGAATGCTAGGATAAAGACATGCAAAAGCTTTTGTAGCAAATACTACTAGTCTATACTAGAAAAGGAAGGTGTTAGTAAAAGCTTCCCATAAAGTTGGCACCTGAGCTGAGCTCCAAGCCGTAAGTTAGACAAGAGGAGAAAGGACATTTCATGTGAGTTTGTTTGCAATTGCAGGGTCCATTTGGATCACTTATGGTTGCTTGCTACAGTAGATTGTGTTATTCTCATACTCTACATTTTTACCAAGCAAAACACCAGCATTTAATACTGTGAAATATTCTTGCCAAGAACAGTCGAACCTAGAGTCTGTAGAGCAAGCTTTTATTAATAGAAGATACAGGAATAGAAGAACAAGTAAATGATATCAATACAAGGAAACAAACAGACAAATCCAGAATAGGGGACATTCTGCAAAACTGGCTTGTTTACTGTAAGACGGCAAAGACCAGAGAAAAAGGTGGGAAAAGGGACAACTTCATGTGAGAGACATAGCAATCCAATGAAAATGTATGGACTTTGTAGATGATGCCAAAGAATCATTATCATTTTATTAAGTATAACCTGGCATTATGGTCAAGAAC